GTCACGTTAGTTACCGTCGTGTGGCCAGGCTTACACTCTAAATTTGCACACACAGCTCTTCAATGAGCCACGATAGGATAGAGATAACGGTTGCTATGCAATTAATGCAAAACACATGTGCGAAAAGCTACAATCGGCTGGAGCGTCAGTTTACTCATAGGCTACGGCTAGGCTACGGCCGAAAAGCCCTACCGTGGCTCATTGAAGAGATGTGTGTGCAAATTTAGAGTGTGGCCTGGCCACACGACGGTAACTAACGTGAAAACCATGTCGTCGAAAAGTACGAATTATGTCAAAACGAAGGAAGCTACGCGGTTTGTAATACTCGCGATGTATACACGCCAAAGAATGGATAATCGTGTCGTACGTTTTAGTCTGTATCTCCGGATTGCTGGTGTATACAAGGAAACAATTTCGCACGACGCTAGGCAAATGTACTGTGTACGATTTGAGCTCAAGTTGGTTGAGTTATGCGTAGTAAATCGTAGGTATTCTAAGGCTAGTAGTAGTAAATGACAAATTTCCCTTGTTTATTGAAGTCACACTCCTTCCCTATTATCTACTCCTGATGGAATGCACCCTGAACAGCTATCCAGCCTAAGATGCACGACAGGATCGTCATGTCTCATATCGTGTTAGCAATAGGTAGCACAGCCAGAAAATATTCCTACGAATAGTCGCAGTCTAATAGGCACACAAAATATTGCACATGTACGCTAATCTTTTCACTTAATTTGGCCCTTAAATGCATGTGTACTACGCTGTAGCTTTACACTACTCAGGGTCACTTTCCCACAGTTCTCATTTTCACTATTATCTAGATAAGGATACACTTTGGTTTAATGCAAAATTTCATTGATTTTCCATTTTCATTCTTATTCGATGGCTAACACCAGTTGCCACCGAATACACATGCTTATTTCTCCATCTATCAGGGCTGCCAACATTGGGTGAAAGGTGAGAGTGAGATGCGAGGGAGCGAAGCAACCGAGGGGGGGGGGAGGTTCCTCCCTCCCACGGTAGGGAGCTTTTGCATTTTATAACTTCAATTTGTGCAATTTGGTGCATACTAAAGTGACTGTTTTCAGATATTGTACGATTTTTTTTGCTGTGCGTGAGATATTTCAGCATTTTATTCATGAAGAGATATTCATGCGTGAGATATCTCAGCATTTTTTTGCTGTGCGTGAGATATTGTAAGATCAGCGTGAGAGCGTGAGATTTGGTCAAAATGTGCGAGTCTCACGGTCAATGCGTGAGAGTTGGCAGCCCTGATATATATACCAATGTATGTAATCTTTCAGAGCGTTTGGATTGCCCTCGTACATGTGCAGTTAGCCGTGACCCTTAAAACACACATTTACTGATGACATCAGAGACGCGATCCAACCAGTCTGTTCACGGTATTCATTATGCTAGTGTAGAAAGTGTCAGTTGTATTAGGGAAGGAGGATTTATATTTACTAGCTGAAACCCGCGCTACGCGCGGGCTTAGTGACTGTGATGATGGAGAGTTTAGTTGTTGCACATGTTTGTTTTTTATGGTTGAGATGTCAATACAAATACATGTAGTAACACATTAACCATTTGTTTGGCAAGTACACAGTAAAATACACACAC